AATCAAAATTTCGAATTGGAAGAGCAAGGCATTCATCACCTACAAAACTTTTCCCACAGACGTACCTTTGAGCTTCGAGCATACCTCACGTTCACTCCCTTGAGCATACCTGAATCCAAAAGATCCTCTATCTCTGTTGGGAAATCTCTTACAAGCTTAGTTGAGACAATTGTTCCCTGCGTCATTGGAGAATCCACGACCCCAACTTTAACATCACCAATTTTGGCATCACTCGCATCGACAACAACAGCATCTGTTGCAGCAGTTTCCTTCACTACCTCCACAGTCGCATTCAACAAGGAACGAGTAAACCTCCTTACAGGCTTCGCTTCCTTCACCACTTCCTCTATCTTACCATCATCTTTGCAACTAACCAAAACCGGCACCCCTAAATCCCCTTTGCATGACCCACTTTCTATCACCGAATCCTCCTTTAACTTTTCTTCGTCTACATTCTTCATTGTATTTTCCAGTTCACTTTCTTTCTCTCCAATGTCAGCATTCATCTTCTCTACCTCCTGTTTTCCTGCTGGGGAGCCCGTTACAGCCATTTCGGTGTCAATTTTTTCCTCCCCTTCCTTGACAACCTCATCTTTAACTTTCAACAAGGAACGAGTAAAGCTCCTTACAGGCTTCTCTTCCTTCACCGCTTCCTCTATCTTAATATCACCCTTGCAACTAACAAAAAACGGCACCTCTAAATCCCCTTTGCAGGGCCCATTTTCTATCACCAAATCCTCCTCTAACTTTTCTTCGTCTACATTCTTCATTGCATTTTCCAGTTCACTTTCTTTCTCACCAATGTCAGCATTCATCTTCTCTTCCCCGTGTTTTTCTTCTGGCGAGCCAGTTATAGCCATTGCGGGTTCACTTTTTTCCTCCCCTTGCTTGACAACTTCAACTTCAGACACTAGTTCAATTACCCCATCTTTAACTTCCTCATTCTTCTCCAAGTCGATCATCTTCGACTCCTCCTCTTCACAACCAACAACCTCCCTCTTCGGATCTTCTACGTCGCTTTTCGCCTCTTCTTCACTCAATAAATCAACATATTCCTCCAAAACCCTCACAGGTTCCTTCAAATCAGTCTTCTCGTTCTCATCCTTAACTTCTTTCTTCAATTTCTTGTTGCTCCTGGTACCTGGACTCCAAACCTGACCTCCATTCAGGGCCTTCCCAGACCGAGTCCGACCCAAAGACCCACAGATCTCAGATTGAACCTTCAAAGCAAACTCGAATTCACGTTTCAGACCCGTCTTTACCCGGGATAGCACCACGAAATCCTCTGCCTCCGTACAGTTCGCCATTCAATTTAAACAAAAGAAGAGCGAAACTCCGGATCAAAATAAAACCTTAGAAAGACAATGTTCCCAAGAACAAATCAAAAACAATTTTAAAATACATCCATGGAGAGGGATTAAACGGTATGAACTTTTAGCGGCTTTCCGCAATACGCAAAGATTTAAGTAAAGAACACAAGGAAATTAGGGTTTTTGTTAACCAATTTATAGAAGAAAGGTTGTAGATTTTTTTTTACGAGAGGAAAACGAAAAACCAAAATAGGGAACAGTGAGACGAAGGAAAGGAGGAAGAAACCCATACGACAACCATTGTATTTCGTGAATGACGAAACTAACCCTCTCTCATCCACACGTTTTAGCATATTTGTCTAAACGGGTCCTTTTTAATTCATGTTAATTTCATAATGGTCCCCATTCCTTTTGGTTTTGAACTGGAAAACCCTTCCATATTATTATCATTTTTAACTTTTTAAAATTATTAAATGATCCCGTGTTAAAATAAACGTTTTTCTTCCTGAAGACTCTAAGTTCGAGTATTTAGTTTAATGTGTATATTGTCAATGACTAAAAAAAATTTAAAGATGGGATAATTTCTCTAATTGATTAGTATCACTAATTTTATATTAAATCATAAATTTTATAACAAATTCTTTGAATATTATCAAATATTAGAGCAAACGTGCAAATTGTGATTTCTTTTTAGAAATTGTTTTAATAAGAAGTATAGTGAAAATAGTCAAATTGCATGAAGGATTTAAAAAAATTCCCAACATATATAATATACAATTTATTTCTTTTGAACTGCCTTATTGTATTAGTATATTATTTCTGACTTATTTGATTATTTAATCAATTTTTAACTGAGTATGTATTAAATTTTTTAATAATAATATAAGAACAAACAAGTAATTGTATATTATACTGTAGGGTGGAAATAATAATTAAGAAAATTCAAAAACAAAAACTTAAATTGCAACTCCACAACTATAGGGGTATTATTGTCCACTCAAAAGTAGGAGGGTATCCCTATATTTATTATCTGATACGTGTTCTATTTCTCCTAGATTATTCTGAAACCCTTAATTCTCGCGGCTGAACAATTAAAATTTTGGACCAATCGTATTCGGCCACGTCATTTTTGTGAAACCTTTAAGATCAGCTGAGCAATTACCACGAGGAAATCACGTCGTCTCACATGCCAAAATATTGAGTGTGTTCTATTTCAGTCATTAAATTATTTAGTTTAATTTATTTTAATTATTAAATTAAAAAAATTATAAATTTAATTATTAATATTATCATTTTATCGTAATTTAGTCATTATATATTAAAATATTAATGAGGGAGTTGATGTGTCAATTTTAAATTGGTTATAATTTTATATTAAATTCTTGATATTTATAAATTTTATCAATTAAATAATAATATTAATAAATTTAACTTTTATATTTATAAATCATATCAATTCAACTATCTCAAGTATAAGTTTTAACCCTTTGTATTTATCAAGTACAACAATGTTTTTCTAATCGTAAGAATTCAAAAAATTTAAAAACATAAAAAACAAAAAAAAAACTACTAGAATATTTTAAAACCCTCAAAATAATTTAAAATTTTAAAAGTAAAAAAAATATATATTTTTTAAACTTCAAAATAATTGTTTTGGTACTTTTAAAATTTTCTATTTCAAGTTTTCTACAATTGTATAAAAGTGATCAAATTGTCAACGTTATTTACTTTTTTGGTAATTGATGCTTATGTAACAAATTGAAGTGGGTGATGTAATTTGTGAAATAGACAAGGACAAAACCGGCATAACAGGTAATGCCACTAGATTTTGCTTAGCTCAGGCCTTCTTTAGTACAATTATCTGTATAATTACACCTCTAGGTTGATCCACATGCAAATATAAAGATCAACTTTGGATCGAATAATAAATTTTAAGTTATTTGAGTTGATAACTCTATTTTATAATTCAAATTTTATTTTAAAATATTAGTCAAGTTGAGTATATAAATTCGAGCCCAAGATGTTCGAGTCCACATGCAAATATAAAGATCAACTTTGGATCGAATCATAAATTTTAAGTTATTTGAGTTGATAACTCTTATTTTATAATTCAAATTTTATTTTAAAATATTAGTCAAGTTGAGTGTATAAATTCGAGTCCAATATGTTCGAGTTTTAATTTAAGTTTATGGTAAATTACACGTTTAGTATATAAAATATCGGTTTTTATCCGTTTTAATACATGAACTTTCAATTTTTCCAAAATCATGTTTAACGTTTTTTTATTTTATTTTAGTACCCGTCGTTAAAAACTTAACACGTTTAATACTAAAACTATCATTTTTAGTATGTTTTAAAACTTTCATTTTTTAAAACTTAAGTATTGTTTAGGTACACTAAACGTGTTATGGTACCTAAACTTTTAATTTTTTCAACACTTCAGGTTTAGTACTAAAAATGAAACAAAAACTATATTTTAGGTATGGTTCTTAAAAAATTGAAAGTTTATATACTAAAACGGATCAAAACTGATAGTTTATGTACTAAATGTGTAGTTTATCCTTAAGTTTAATTGTAAATATTTATAATATTATAGTATTAGTTAATTCCAATTTAAACAATTTTCTTTAACCAGATACAAGACATATATATTTATTTATCTTTTTCATATGCAGTATATATATCATATGGGATTCGATTCAAACTTAAAAATCGATCCCCTAACTACTAAAAATTTTGAGTTATTCAAGTTTTATTTTATAACTCGACTCAAATTTAAAATTTATCGAGTATAGTTTAGTTTATAAATTACAACTCGAATGTAATTGAAGTCAAATTTTGCTCACCCACATTGATAGATCTAAAAATATTTTTAGGGGACACACACATGTTAACACCATAAAATTTTAAATGGTGTAGGCAAAAAATAAAATTTTTAAGATGAATACCATCAGTAAAATTAATAATTAATTGAAGAAAACTCAAATTTCAATTCTCACCCTCATCAAAATGTGGCTCTGCCTAGGCACATTCTTTCAATTTTCAAATAAGTGTTGTTTAATTTTTCTGATAGTCCACATTAATTATAAAATAATATTTGTTCAGAATTTTATTTTTTTATCATTAACAATATACATACATTTTACAAACATAACAGATTGAACTCGGAATCTTTAAAGAAAATAATACTCCCTTTTATCTTTTATCATTATATGTATAATTATAATAATTAAAAAGTTGATACATCATTTAATTCATTATTAATTTAATTAACAATGATTAAATTGAACTTAGAGTATAAAGTTAAGGGGTACTACCCGTTTAATTTTTATAGGATGTAATATAGGATAAGGAAAAAGTACCATACAAGTTCATGTATTATACCCATAGTTAGGATTCATCCTTAATTTCAAAACCAAAACTGAAGGACTATTTTGTAGACATTGCTCATTAGAAAGCCAAAGGCTAAAAATTGTTTTAGTGACTTAAAAATATAATTTTGAAAGACTTAAGTGGTCAAATACCATTTAACCCAATTATATTAGTCTTGACAACCGAATGATTCAATCAAAAAAAGCGGGAGAAATTTAAAATTTGAAATTCAAATTTATTTGAATTTTATGTTATGTAGTTACTTATAATCGCACAAGAAAATTTAGTTTAGCTCATATTCTTCTTCTTCTTCATTTCTTAATTACCTCGTTGATATTTTATTTTCTTTCAATAGATCACAAATTCCCAGTAAAATATTTTCTCACTCTTCATTTCAATCTCTCTCAAGGTACGCCGGAAATTGTTCTTTTAAATTTCTTTTATTATTTTTGAAAGATTTATTATATATAATCGTCGCATGTTTATCTTTCTATCTTTTCGTTTGTTTAATTATTGTTCCGTTTTTGGCAGATCGAATCTTGAAATATAATTTTGATCTCTAACAGATCGAAAACATTAGTTGTTTTTATTTTTAGAAAAACCGAAGAAAATGGGTCAAATTCAGTACTCCGAGAAATACTTTGATGATACTTATGAATACAGGTGGTGGATTTCATTTTCCCTGTTTCCAAACTTTCTGTTATGGATTTCATTGTTTGAAAAATTAATTTCGATTTTATTCTTTTTTTATTTTCTTTTGTGGGTGATCGTACAGGCATGTCGTTCTTCCTCCTGAAGTAGCCAAACTTCTCCCCAAGAATCGCCTCCTTTCTGAAGTATGTTTACTGTTTCTTATGGTTTTACTGGAATGCGCATTTTTTATTCGTTTCCCTTTTGATTAGTTTCACAAATTGAATCCGGTACTTGTTTAATTTAATAATTCATATGAATTATGAAATAAAAATGACAAATTATTGATAACCATAATGATAAGATCTGATTTGGTTGCTTGTCAATGATGAAAAATGAAATGAAATTAACCAGCTTTCCATACAGCAAAAATAATTCATTTTACAAATGCGGGTATGCTTCGCAGAAGGAAATCATGATTAGTTAAACTTATATGTTATGATCTTCAGATTTCTTGATTTTGTGATGCTTGTCAAATAGTTTGCAGTATATTTATAGCACTTGGCTTAGTTTTGAAATATAATTTGAATAAATGAAGCATTAAGTGGATTTGATGATATAAGATAACGTTATTCTTTTTGAAAGATTCAGTTCAAACAGTTATGAGATATAGGGTGTGTGTTGTTAATAAAAAATATGATTTGAATGAGTTAACTAAGTTGTTAAATGTAATGTGTTCTTTAATTTAAAACATTAGATGTTCGTAGTACTTGACCCAAGGATCAGGGTTTAAAATTTGATATTGTCATTCGTTTCTCTCATATTGTAGAATGTATAATATATATATATATATATATATACACACACACACACACTACCTTATGGTTTGTGGGTTTTTTTTCACACTTTTTCTATTGGTTTGAAGCAACTTGTATTGGTTCTGTTACCTCCATTAGATTTTGCCTCATTCTGCCATGCTTTTTTGTAGAATGAATGGCGTGCAATTGGAGTACAGCAGAGTCGTGGCTGGGTCCATTATGCTGTTCATCGTCCTGAACCACACATTATGCTTTTCAGGAGGCCTCTTAACTATCAACAGCAGCAGGAGAATCTGGCTCAGCAAACTATGCTTGCCAAGTAATTACAGAAGCTTTCCAGTATTCAAAAAATGGGATGAAAGTCTAAAAAACAGTTTGGGTGTTGTGGAATTCATGGATTGTTTTTCTATTGTAGTTCTCCGTTGTGGAGAATTCCGTGTTTAGGTTTTGCTTCTTACTTTCTTGATGATGTAATCTCATTGGTACTAGCATCTTTAGATATCAAATTAAGATGCTTTAGATGGCATGGATGAAAATTATTCTAGAATTTTGATTGATTTCTTTAATTCCATCTCAAAGTGCACTCGTGTTCTTTTCTTTTTCTTTTTTAGGCCACCAATGACCCATTTCCCCCCCCCCCATTATCTCCATAATCTGCTGCTGTATTATTAACTCAGCTTTCAACTTATCCTCACCCAATCCCATCCCATCATCTTCTCCTTCCACACCTCATTTTCAGTCAAAACCCTCGAAAACTCGGTCACTAAGGGAAATTCGCCAAATTCTCAACCCCATCTCCCTTTTACTCCCCATCTCATTATTTTTCTTCCTGGGTATTGTTTTCTTGCCCCAAAATCTTTTGAAAAGCTAATCTTCGGTCGTGATCGGTTCTTATCAGGAACTGTGCCTTGCATGCTTGTGGTACTTATCTCGCAGTCTACGAATCTCGTCGTTGATTCGGGAAGGGTTGAACTAATTGAGTCGTTATGATGCGGTTGATTGTTGGGGTCAGTACTAATTGTGGTTGCGATCGCAATTGCGGAAGTTGTAGATATTATTTTATAAAAGTAATTATATTTTAATATTAGAATACGATATATGAGATCACAATAAATTTTTTTAAAAAGAGAGTACGATGCATCCTGTTACATTACGTTGTGACAATTCATTATTTAATACTATACTTGAGGAACCCACGGTTTGGGGTGGCGGATAAATGGTTCAATTCAGCGTTAGATGATGTTGATCGTGATGGATTCACCTCCTTTATTGTGTTACTGTGGAACATTTGAAACAAGAGGAATTACCTTGTGCACAAAGGAAGATTCAACCTGCCACATTGGTGGTGGAGAATGCCAAGGTACTGCAATAGGCATTTTCCACAGCTACCGCAAGTAATGTCCCTTCCAGTGGCGGATGTAATTTATTCTTAGAGTGGTCACGTGTTTATCATTAAATCTTAATTTTTCTTAATTAATTAATTAATTTTATTTATTTATTTATTTATTTATTTTACTGATTATACAGACCATAAAGTTTTATTTGTGTCTCCTAATATAAAAATTTTTATATTAGTATATGTTTTAGCTATTTTGTTTTTGTTTTCAAATGATAATTTGTGTTCGTCCTTAAAATTTTATTAGTTCATCTCCTCCTAAAATTTTAAAAGTTTATCCCCAAACATAAGATATTCATTCCGAAGGTAGCTTCAAGATCAATGTTGGCAATCCTTTTACCAAGGAGAACCGATCTGTTGCCATTGGTGTAGTAGCAAGGGACCATATCAGTAAAGTGGTTACCAGACATGCATGGAGTTTAGATGCTAGCCACGATCCAGAATTGGTGGAGGTATCCATTGAAGGGGACGCTGCTAGACATCTTGATTTGTGTTAAGTTTTTCAGATGTGAGGCTCAAAATTTGGTCTAATGGGCAGTTAATTTTATTTCTTCTATTTTGTTTATGAGTATATTGATTATATTTCCAATATTGTATTGAATGATGTCATTTACGATTAATTTATAAAAGTGCTTACTCTTAAAAAATATATTTGATTAATATAAGAGGACACTAAGTTAACTACTCTTTAGAATTGATCTTTCATAAATAAAGACTAGAGTTGTAAATGAATTGAGCTCGAGTCGATTCGAAAATTTTAAAGTTGAGCTCGATTTGACTCGTAGGCTCGCGAGTTTAAAATTCTCAAGTTTGATTTAAACTCAAATAAAAATTGAAGCTCGACATGACCCGAAAGATCACGAGCTTAAATTTGTCAAGCTCGACTTAAACTCAAAATAAAAAATTAAAACTGGACTTGAGCTAGAATTTTTTGAAACATTCTTAGACTTTTAGCTCAATTAAGCTCAAATCGAAACTCGATTTAAACTCACATAAATTAACAAAATTTTAACTAAACTAAACTCAGAAAACTGGTTATTTGTCTCTATAGTTTATAGTCCTGATAAAGACAAATAAAGAGAGCATGGGGACTTCTATTGGGATTTTATAGTATGTAACCAACCTTCCTATGATGGGTAGGGCTACATAATAGGTAGTTAGGATTAGAGCCTCTGATGTGACAGCTGTAATACAAGGAGTCGTATGATCTTTATTGTGATTCTCTAAGCATGTGAGCATCTTGGCGGGGTGAACCCTTCATTATAGTTATTGGCTTCACTAGATAGTACAAGTGAGGTATTTATAAGTAAAAAGTCGATTATTTCGAATTAATCATTCATTTCTTTGAAAATAAATATTTTATATTTACTTAAATAAAAAGCTAAATATGACATGCATTCCTGTTAACCAATAACATGTCAAATATAAACTCATTTTAGTAACTATGATTCAAAGTTCCCGTGCTTGAAATGTCTCTATCACACCACCAAGATGACTAAACTTTCTAAAGCAAAGGGTGTGAATCAGTATATATATTAGACTGTATTAGGGGAAAGGAAAGGAAAGGAAAGGTGGCTTCCACAATACCCCAAACGCCAAACCCACCAACCATATATTAGGGGAATGCTTTTGAGTGAAGTTCAAAGAGATGAAAGTAGCTACCAATATTGGACTATATTCATCTACATTATCAAAATCATAAATGACATCACCCTTATATGGTGGGACATTATTCAATTCTCGAGGTTTCATTAGTATAATTCCAAAATATATATTAAGATTTGAACCACATATGTGTTGGATAAGATCATGTATGAAAATAAAATTTTATGTTAAAACGATAAATTTATAAAATTTTAGAACAACTTAAATTATAAAAGGTATTATCAACATAAAGTACACAAAAAAATTAAAATAAAATTTTTTTTAAGAGAAACAACTGTCCTCGTCCACTCTTCTCTAACCATCTCTAGACAAGATGACTTTAATTTGGAGATGATCCATGATATGGGGTAGTCATAAATGTGGCAGTTCAGATAATGTTTATGTTGTTATGAGTTCCAATGGCGCAGGCAGATGGTTCACTGACAACCAATCAAAATAATAAAAAAATAAAAACAACAAGAATAGGGGGGAAGACAGCCAACCAAACCCACCGGGCAGCTCGGTTTTGTTCTGTCACTGACAGCCAAGAAACATACAAAACAAAAGCAGTTACTTATAATAATCTGCTATGTGGTGTTGTGAGCAGCACTTGTCGCAGCTCATCTCAAACCATATCCAATACTGCCCAAGACACAATCCTCACACCAATTTTATCTTGGGTAAACTGCGTGTTTAGTCGCTAACTATTCTCGTGGTTCATTTTTGGTCATTTAATTATTTTATTTTAAAATTATACTTAAATTTATATTTTTATTCCGTTTTAATCACCAACCTTTACCAAATTAATGATAATGCTGAAGTGACATCATAATATAATTCCACGTTAGCAGTTATGTTTATTTTTTTGGGTAAACTACATTTTTCGTCACCGAACTATCACTTTGGTTTTGTTTTGATCACCCCAACTATTTTTTTTTCAAAATTATCAGCAATATTACGTTTTAGTTTTATTTTGGTCATCCACCATTAAAAAAATTAATAATGATGTGAATATATCACCATCAAGTAATACCACGTCATCATTCAAAATAAAAAAAATATCACATTATCAGTTCTATTACTTTTTTAACGGTGGGTGACCAAAATGAAACCAAAACATAACATTATTGATGATTTTAAAAAATAGTTGAAAGACCAAAATAGAACAAAAGTGATATTTGTGTGACTAAATACATAGTTTATCCTTATTTTTTTTAATGATAGATGAACAAAACAGAACAAAATTTAAATATGATTTTGAAGAAAAAAAATAGTTGAATAATCAAAATAAAATCGTGAGATTAGTTGAGTGACTAAATAAAAAATTTACCCATTTATCTATTAATCCAATCCAATCAAATTATAATATTTTTTAAAAAAATATATAAAAATCATAAATTTCAAATAAATCCGATCTATTTATTTTTTAATAAATATGAGATGAATACAAGGTAATATATGTTCAAAGACTTTTAACATTTTGATAATGAACGCTCATACCTTTGTATAAACATTGTTTGAACCTAAGACATCAAGATATAACAATTATTCCCTTAATCACTTAAGTCGTTTGATTTGTAAATCCCGGTTAAATTTTAAATAAGAGATTTGAGTAAATCCAATATAGTTTAAGAAAACGAATCGTTTTTCATAATTATTAGAGGTTTTTTTTTAAAGGATTCCCTTTCCAATGATTAAACGTAGCTAGCAAAGATTAATTATCAATTAATTGGTCGTAATTTCAAAATGGATGAAACAAGTAATTGATGCATGAATTGTTGACAAAGAATGCTTCGTTGGCAACAATGGATTTAGCTATCAAATGAAATTGTGAATAAATTAAGTATGGTTTAATCATTGTGGATCTCAGCATCTTTTTAAACAATTAGCCGACTACCACACTCAACCTTACTTTTTCAGTTTCTTACTTTTTAACTATTAATTTGGGACTGTTAATTTATTATATGAATTAAAATTAATAAAATTACCCTGCTTGATGCAAAAAATTATAATAACCCTGAAAAAAAAACTAAGTATTAAAGTAATTTGCTTTTATGCCTCTTTCATAATTTTTTTTTTTGAAAAAAAAATATAGTAATTTGCTTTAGGAAGACATGGAGTGAATGCGTTACCATCGCATGCTTTTAACGAGCAACACCCCCTTTGCTTTTAGATCTCTCCCTCTCTAGCATCATATATATATTTTTTTATTAATACTATGATTATAAAATAATATTTATTCGAAATTTTCTTAATCAATTAATAACGCGTACATACTGTAATAGCATCTATTCGAACTCAGGATTTCTAACAATAATATTATCTTTTATCAGTGAAATCACTTGATGTATTCGTTAATATCACAATCTTATGATAGAAGTGTACGAATTGCATGTATTAAAATTCATTAAATGAAATTTTTAAAAAATAATTTAGGGTA